AATTTGAAAATGGCTTAATGATTTCTATGTCTCTATTTTTTATATAGTTAATATAACTGTTCAATATTCTCTTTTATAAGACTGTTTTGTCCTACAGTAGAGTCTTTCTCTCTTAAATGTTTTCTAGGCTTGTACTTCTTTTATATTTACTTATATTTATATTTATAATTTACACCCTTTTCATATTCAGTTAACATTTTCTTTGTACAAATACCATATGACCATTATTTGATTTCAATTAAATTATTTACAATGTAGATATTTAAAAAGTTATTAATATAATTACCCTGTATAGAACAGATATAACATATCCTACATTCTCCTAGACACTTATAATACACTATGTCTAAACTTTAACTATATTTTATGGCAGAAGTGATTACCCTAGCCTTTGTAATCAAGGCCTTTGCATTTAGAGTATATCATTAACTTAGATCATAGTTAGTAAATAGCACTTGTGAGATCCACTCACAAGTTATTTCTTTTCCAAAGCCCAATCACTTCTCTCTACCCTATTCTGCCTTTCTCTCTCTATCTACCAAATTTTTAAATCCTTGAACTAAGATACAATGCCAACCTAGCTTTTGCAACACATATGGAATCCTTCATAGGACATAATAGTTGTCAGCTATAAGTAAAAATATATTAATTAACATTGAACATACTCACTAAATAATGGCATATAGTGTATAGAAAACAGTATGACCTCAACAAACATCCTCAGCTGCAGTTAAAATTCTAGCATTCTATCTTTCTGTCCAGACAAGAGTTTTGCATGAGATTTGGGATGTGCTTTATTTACAGATAATGTTTCTTGGAGACACCCCAAAAATGGCTCACTATTTATTATGAAACTCATTGAAAATTTGCAAGAATATGCTTGGTCCTGTGACCTGGAGGAGATATTCCGAAAAGTAAGGCTCTAGATATTTCTCATATTCTACTTCCCTGGCTATTTGACTATTCTAGTTGGAAACCTAGGGACAGCTCTGGCTATGTTTATTATCCAGAAATGTACTTCTTTCCAAAAGAACTCTGAGGGTCTTGGGTGAGTCAGCAAACTTGAAAGCTAGATCCAATATGCTATGATCTAGAATCAACCCCTCAAAATAATAATTTATTTATTTTTTAAAATATATTTTATTGATTATGCCATTACAGTTGTTCTATTCCCCCCTTCATCCCCCTCCACCCTGCACACCCCCTCCCCCACCATTCCCCCTTTAGTTTATGACCACGTGTCTCAAGTTCTTTAGATTCTATATTTCCCATACTATTCTTGCCCTCCCCCTGTCTATTTTCTACCTACCATCTATGCTTCTTATTTTCTGTACCTTCTCCCCCTTTCTTCTCCTCCCACTCCCCTGTTGCTAACACTCCATGTGATCTTCATTTCTATGTTTCTGCTCCTGATCTAGCTGTCCTCTTAGTTTGCTTTTAAGTGTGGTTGTTAATAACTGTGAGTTGGCTGTCCTTTCACTGTTCATTTTTGTATCTTCTTTTTCTTAGGTAAGTCCCTTTAACATTTCATATAATAAGGGCTTGGTGATGATGAAATCCTTAAATTTGACCTTATCTGAGAAGCACTTTATCTCTTCTTCCATTGTAAATGAAAGTTTTGCAGGATAGAGCAATCTTGGATGTAGGTCTTTGGATTTCATGACTTGGAATACTTCTTTCCAGCCACTTCTTGCCTCTAAGGTCTCTTTTGAGAAATCAGCTGACAGTTTGATGGGAACTCCTTCGTAGGTGACAGTCCCCTTATCTCTTGCTGCTTCTAGAATTCTCTCCTTCATTTTAATCTTGGCTAATGTAATGATGATGTGCCTTGGTATGTTCCTTCTTCCGCCAAGATGGAGGCATAGGTGGAAGCACTGTGCTTTCTCACACAACCAAGTTTAAAAACAACAAAGTTTTAGCAAGAAAAATACAGCCAAACCACAGAAAATTGAGCTATACGGAAGTTTGACAATAATGAACCCTTCCGCCAAACCGGTAAGAGGGGCAGAGCCAGCAGCAGAGCAGAGTTGGGCAGGAAAGTTCCACCAGACAGACCCGGGAGCACAACCCAGGGGCACAACCCAGGCATGCCAGCAGCCATGGGTGGATCCCAGGTGTGGAGTAGCAGCAGGCAGACCCACTGAGGGTGCAAGGTGGTGGACTCACTGAGGGCTGACCACGGTCACACATTCGCGTGCAGATAAACCGGTGAAGGAGCGAGCAGTGGAACAGACCACACAGGCCCCAGTGGTGGGAAGCAGCAGGGGGACTGCTATTGCCCCTCTCTGACCCCACCCCCACACACAACATCAGAAAACAGCGACCTGTGTGGCCCCGCCCTGGTGAACACCTAAGGCTCCACTCCTCATACACAACAGGCACAAACAGATCAAAACATGGCTCAAGAACAACTCAGAGCCCCAGAGCCAACAAATCTAAGTGATGAAGAAATAGCCAAACTTTCAGATGCACAGTTCAAAACACTGGTGATCAGGATGCTCACAGAACTGGTTGATTTTAGTCACAAATTAGAGGAACATATGAAGGCTAAACTAATTGAAATGAATAGAAATGCACAAGAAACCAATAGTAATGGAAAGGAAACTGGGACTCAAATCAAAGGAGTGGACCAGAAAGAGGAAAAAAATGACCAAACAAAAAAGGATGAAGAAACAAGAATTCAAAAAAATGAGGAGAGGCTTAGGAACCTCCAGGACATCTTTAAATGTTCCAACATCCGAATTATAGGGGTAGCAGAAGGGTAAGAGGAACAGCCATGAGTGGAAAACTTATTTGAACAAATAATAAAGGAGAACTTCCCCAATCTGGCAAAGAAAATAGACTTCCAGGAAATAATAATTATTTTAACTCCCCTATAGCCCTAAGTACACAAAGAAGTGGACTCCTGTTTGTCTATGTCCATAGCTATTAGATTCATCAACAGATTTAAAAGATCTGGTCAATTCCATGCTTTGATATCCATACCACTATGATTCTTACAGGTGCACAAACTTTTTATTTTGCTATACTTTTTGTAAATTTTTCAGCTTAAGTGAAGATTCTTCCACTCAGGAAAAAAAAATACACACTGTTTTTTCCTATAGGTTCGATTTTCATTTGAGCGTCCAGATGTTAGAGTGCAGATGCCCACCACGGAAAGAGTGACTTTGACAAGATGTTTCTACCTCTTTCCGGGACATTAATATAAGTAAGTTGTATTAATGTCAAAGGACAGAAGTGTGTGTGTGTGCTGGGGGTCATAGCATTGTAGGGACAGGACCGAAACTTCATCTTGGCCCAGGTCTCAAGGTCTAGTAAAATAAATTCAAGGCACTAAAAATATGTCTTTCTGTTTGTTCAGTTCAGAGCACATTGCTCTTCTTTAAAGTTCAGCAGAGTTAGATGGCCCTTTCTCAGGGTCAGCTGAGAGAGATTGAGATGTGTTCCATTGGATGATGAAAGTTTGGTTTTAGATGTTCTTCACTTTTCCTCAACAGAGCAATATTCAGACACAGCATAGCCTCTTTCTTCTCATGAGTGTGTATGTCCCCATAAGTGGAGTAATTTTTAAACTTGTATTTTTTAAATAAAACTGTGTTTATAATGTTTGTTTTATTTATTTTTCTTATAGGAAACCAGAAGTTCTGTCATTCTGTTCCTGTTTTGGGAATTATGTCAGCAGGAAACAGATATTTCTTTAAACATTTCAATAAATGTGAAATAAAAAAAACAGAAGAGTTGTTATGGGTGTTTTTTTTTATTCTGAGACAATAGGGGGTAGGGTTTGGAACTGGTAATGGGTGTTTTTAGATTGATCCATGAGAGCTGACCTGCCTAGATGAAGTTTCGGCCCTGACGAAGAACAGTACCATTCTTTCTTTCTAGAAACCATTTTCTGGGCTGTCAGTTTCAGGGATATTGATAAAAATCTCACAGTAAATATTTATCTTCAGAGAATTTTGGAGCTCAGCCAAAGAAATTCGGAGTGTGGTAAGTGACTTCACCAGAGTTTACCACTACCAAAGCCTTGGCCAGAAATTACATATGTCTATCTTTCCATAAACTATTTTAGGGATGCAAAGTAATTTTGATTCACACCCAGGAAACTCATAGTTTATAGTTTTATTAAGAAGACAAGATAGTCAACTAACATGAAACAATTAGCTGAAAATACACGACACCCTATGGAAAAGCACTAGACTGTGTTGTATACCAAGTAATGCACTTGTCGATGCAGTGGTAATGAGTTTGGGGTGAAATCCTCCACTCAGCAATGCAAGACTTAGGAAGGACTGAAGGGAGTAGCATTTTGTTGGCAATCATGAGCCATTTCTAATCCTAACCCATTAGGAGTAAAGGTGAATTTCTGGCTCTTTGTAGATGAATATTAACAGTCTTTTACTCCCCCACTAACTATTCTTCTGGACATGCCACTTCTGTACTGTCATGCATTTGTTCTACTACAGCCTAAGACTGCCTCTATTATCACTCACTGTTCAGAGAATATCAAAATAGCATAGTGAGAAGTCACCTTCAGTAAAACTTAAATGTAGAGCTAGGCTTAAGCAGTTAAAGAAATGCATGAGGAGAGTGAAGAGAAAGATTCCTTAAGAATTTGTCCATAAACACTCAAAGGAAGACAGGGAGGGGATAACACCAGCAGAGCTGAAACAGAAAAAAAGAAGTTAATTTGGGTAATTCTTATCTGAAAGTGAAATGAGACCTGTTAGTTTAAACTCCTTCAGATGAAATACTGAGAGATCAGAAAAAGGACACAGAGAAGGGAGTGTGGGGAAATAAAGGGAGAGAAAAAAGAGGAAGGAAAAAAAGGTCAGAGGTGCCAGTTCACAGAAAAATGTCTTGTCATTCACATTTTCTTTCTTCCTAAAAAAGGAAGCTTTTCCTCCCAAAGGGCTGGTGAACACATTTGTCGACTACTGGGGACTTCCAGATGGACATGAACCCTGATATTCCAAGCAGCAGTTGCCCAATCTGTGATTAGATGTCCCCGCCCCCTGAACTAAGGAAGTGCACAGTAGCTTTTATTTTTCAGGCTGTGGCTCACTTACAGCAGCAGGAAGGGACTGAGGCTGTTGTTACCTATGGCTGGTGAGTAGGGGTCTTTTTTGACTGAGGGTCAGGCACTTGGGGCTTAGGAAACACTTTATTCATTGCTCTGTGGCAAACAGAAATAACAAGAGGGAAAAAACCTGTGGTTTGCCAGCTGAATCTTTCTCCCTATTAGTTCTATGTAACTTGAATCACTGGGGCACATTGCCTTAGACAGGCTGGAAGAAAGAAAGATTTCCAGGCATTTTAGAGCCAGGGGAAGTTAATTCCTTTCTTTCAGTGTATAGCAGTGAGGGGGGGGGCAGAGACAAATAGAGTGAGTTATTTGTGTAAGAGACAACTCCTGAAAGTTCTAAATGCACTCTGAGATTTCACTTCCTGTTGATTTCGAATTGGTCATTTAGGTAATAAACACTGCTCCCAGAGTCATGTAAGTGAGGCTTTTGATTCTGTCCTCTTTTTCATTGCCTATATTGAATCACATACTTGGTCTTTTAAGGTGACTCTATTTTTTCTCCTGACTCTCTAGTCCTGGTACTACTGACTGTAGGGCAGTCTTTCCTGGATTGCTACCCCAGTTTTTTAACTGGTTTCCCTCTCCAGGACATAACCCTCCAAGCCATCCTGTGAACTACTTTCGGGTCATATTTCTTATATTCCGAAGCTGAAAAAGCAAAAGAGATGGAATCATTAGCTTTTTATGCAGCTAGTATTCAAACATGTCATATCATATTCTTAGCTTCATTTTCCTCATCTGAAATGGAAAAGATTCAACTAGATCAGCAAATATGAATAATCCATAGTCATATTTTAAATTTTGGTTTATTCAGATTATACTGACCCTGTGTTTCTTAATCTTGAATGGACTGTAGACATTTATAATCTTTAATATATCTACAGGTAATTCTTATATAACTGGTCTGGTATAGACTTTTTTGCACATTAGAATCATTAAGAAAATGATTAACTAGCTATCTTTTAGTTCTCACATTCTAGGTATCTGTGCATGCAATGGTTTTACTCAGGAACTACAGTGGTTCCCTATTGCTGTTAAAAAATGCTCTGAACTTTTCAGACAGGTTTTCCTACCTTTCTAAATATACTTATCCATTTTTCCATTAATCTTTCTAAAAGGTGACTTAAGCTTCACAAAAAATTATAATTTTTGTATTTCCCCTACTCATACTTCCTGTGCTCTTTTATTTCTTTATTTCTTTGTTTCCTTCCCTATTATAATTATTTCTGGGTTTTATGACCTATCTCACCACATTTAACTTAAATTCCTAAAATACAAGGATCAACTGTTTTCTTTCTTTTCTTCACAGCACTCATCCAGCATTTGTCTGGAGAATAGTACATTAAGTGCACATCTGTGGCTGCATCTTTGGCCACATAGGCTGGCCTCACAGATTATTAGATGGCAGTGAGGGCATGATTAGATAATAAATGTGAGAAGTGGAAAGGCACTAAAAAAGAAAACAAGTAAAATGGACCAACAAATATAAATGACTGAGTTTGGTTAGACATTATTAAATAATTAACTACAAGAAAAAAATGGCTTGCCTAGTGAGAAACAAGGTATACTAGGAGCATATTCCTCTGACGCTTTGTCTAGTCTGGGAGTATCAGGTAGAAGTCCCCAGAAGAAGTCACATCTAATCCCAGACATAAAGGATAAATAGAGAAGTGGAGGAACAAGAAAAGGGGTCGGGGTGGGAGACCGCCCTCATAGAGATCCCTAAATAAGGGCTTCCTAGAAACTAAGAGAAGGGCACAAGGTTTCAAATGTAATGAATGAAGTGGGTAAAATTGTGGAGGGTCAGAATGAATAAATAAGGCTACCTAAATTAGAGTGAGCTTAGAGATTTCATTATTAAATCTAGTTTTTTGAACACTAATTATGCTTCATGCAAAGAATGAATCAGAAGGGGAAAAAGTAGCTTTATAAGGTTCTTGAAGTTATTTAAAAAGGAAGAATATAGGCCTGAAATAGAATAATGCACAATTAGAAAAGAGAGAAGCAGTCAGATTCCATAAATATTTAGCACATAAAATCAATACAATTTGATGGCAGATTGAACATAAGTTACTCAGAAAGTGGAAGATGTTCACTGTTACCATGTTTTATTGGTCTGTTGTACTTGGTGTTTAGATATCATTTATTAGTACCAGGAACAAAACAGGTGAATAAAAAGCAAACAGGTCAACTTGATAAAGGATTTAACAACTTTGTGGAACATTGAGAAGAGATGGACATATGATTCACAATTTTGCTATCTATATCTGGGATGAATCTATAAATTTGGGAGTAATTCATAATGAAGCCATGAGAATATATAGATAACAAGAAGAAGACCTAAGACCAAACCTCTTCAGTTTTACTGTTAACCTTATTTTTTCCCACTCCATTTGTTCTGTCCACTCTATATCACCTTGCTGAGTGCACTCAACACAGAGATTCGACTAGAGAAGTGAAACCGAAACCCAGAACTCAGGGAGACCAAATATTCCATACACTATCCTGCCTGCTGTTTGCGATTCTTTAAACTCTCTGTTCTAACATCTGTATACTATATTGCATCTCAGCATCTCTACTACCTTTTAAAAGGAACCCTTGTGGCCTCAAGTGCAGAAGCTTACCCAGACTTCTAGTCTCTGTAGCATTTCCTGTTATTTTAAGTAACTCTTCACCAAGTATCATGTAATATAGTGTGATGACTTAAGAGCAGGGGGATCTGAGCCCCTGAGTTTGAATCCTTTTTCCCCACTTAGTGTACATACAATGTACTCTACATATGTTTTCAGTCATAATTTAACTAACTTCTCTGTGTCTGTTTGTTAATACAATAAAGTTATTAATAGACCAGTTACATGAACTTTTGGTAAAGTTTAAGTGAGAAGATTCATGTATATCACTTAACATTGGTGGGGGATCAATATTAACTATTATTACTAAAGTTGTGCTGTAAGAACAGATGTAAATTCTCAATTTGTGTGATTTGGGGTAAATTATAAAATAAGGAGAATAATCTCATTGGATTATTGTAAGGATATAACACATTAATGTTTGTATTTAGTAAAGAAATTGGAAATAATGATAACAATGATGTTGGTGATTTCCATTGCTTTTTATATATTTCCTTTTTTAATCATTATAAGCAGGCAAGAGATGTTAGCTGTTACTAATAGATTTAAGTAACTTTTAAATCAGGTTTCGTAACTTTTCTGTTTTCTTATTATAATCATTGCCCAATAAACACTGACTGAAAAAAGCAATTCAATATAACATGGAAATCCAGGCTGTGGTTTCTAGACCCAAGTTCTTGTTCCTTAGAATTAATTGAGAATTGATGAGATATCCTTCCTTCTCATATATATGTCCAAATCACATCTGTGGTATTAAAAAAAGATTTATTACTTTGACTCTTATATTCCTTTATAAAAATAAAAATTATCCTGGACAGTAATAAATTAAACTGGTATCAAATTAATCTACCAATTGGAAAATTGGCCATCAGACTATTTTCAACTCTGAATTTTGATTGAGACACAATTTTAAAGTGTGAGGACCCTGAATGCACACATTCACTTAGTCATTAATTCATGTATTCAGCAATCCTGTAGGTATTTTCTAAGTTTTTAAGTACAAAGATATGAGTAAAATGTGTGAACACAAAAACGTGGATTCAAAAGCATAGTGCTTTCACTAAGAAAACAAAATACAGGGGAAGGAGTGGGTCCCATTGCCTAGCACAGGAATTGTCAATATCTTTCCACTCCTGGCACACATAAACCAACTACTAAAATTCTGTGACTCACCCAAAAATATATATTTTTGCCAGTCTGACAAAGAATATGTATAAGTTTGAATCTATCACATAGATGGAGATTGTTGTGTTGGCTGATGCCATGTTTTAATGTATTTTATTTTATTTTTTATCGTTGTTCAGCTACAATTGTCTCCATTCCCCCCACCACCGCCACTCCCCTCTCCACCACCAATCATCATTTTTTAAAATTGATCTTCTAAAGAAAAAAGAGGTCAGTGCCCCTGATTAAATAGTCAGGTATTGCATGTTTTAACAATTCTTGAGGCACATTGGTTGAAAATCACTGGTATAGTGGAAAAAATGCACAGCATAGTCAAGAGCATGGACTTTTCTTGGAGCATACATTTCAGGTAAACCATTGTCATCACTAGGAGAAGGAGAAAAATAGAAAGATAAACATAAGAAGAGTAGATGACATTAGGCCCCATGTCACAGAGAAGAGATGAGAAGGGATGCAAAAATCTTAAGTGCCAAAAATTATTAAACAAAATGCAAATACAAAGTATGGATTTGATGCACTGAGATAATTCCAGAGGTATAATGAAATAGTATATACTTTGCTGGTGAAACAGTGAAATAATCAGAAGGTATTTCAAGAGTACCTCACATTACAGGGAGCCCTATATTTAGGGTGAAACCCTTTAAATTTTATTCACAGTTGAAGGAGTCTTTGTGTTTCTTACAGAAGACAGATACGACAAAAACGCACTTAAGTCTTTGGAATTTGTTGGTAAAGAAATCTTAACTGGGTTATTGGATGGCTTGGTGAAAACAAATGTTCTTGAATTGGAGGAAACTGAAAAGAAAAAATTTTATGATGCCAAACCTAGAGAAAAGGCTTCGGTCCTAGTGGACGTTTTTCGACAAAAACGCGATGAAGCAGGTCAAATCCTTCTCCGAACCTTCCTTAAACCAGAAAATCTCTCCATTGGCAAAAAAGGTAAGTATGGAGTCATTTGCAACAAATATCCCAAATTTTCCTCAATGTATTTAGTTCCAATGCTTCTCCAGTGTACTGAATGCTCCCATCCTTAAATTTCTAAAACATTACTTTCACTACTTTGTCATTGTCATTTTATGGGCTACTTGGCTTTTATGAGAAGAGATTTGATTTCCAATCACCTAAGAAGCTTAACCTTTCTGTTTAGATTACTCATGTAAATAGCTTATTCTAGAGACATTTTGGACACTGTGTGCTTTCCTTCAAGTATCTTAACCTCCTTAAGCAACAGTCTCAGCATCTTTGACCTGTGGAAATTTCAGTAACTCCACAGGATTTGTAAGGCTAGGATCATAGTGGTAGGAATATGCTGACAACTCATAAGATTTTAGCTCTCATCTATCACCCCTCTCTGAGCTCCAGATGTAGTTAACTCTAGCTGCATGTTCAACATTCCATTCAAATATTCGCCCAGCTTCAAAAACTAAGATATCTGAAATGACACACTTGACCCCCCCGCCATCAAATTTATTCCACTTCTATCCCCTTCCTATCTCATTAGAACTATCCAGAGTACAATTTTCTTAATCCAGAGTACAACTGTTTTCTTTGCCTATGAATAATAGCTTAGAAGAGTGTCAGACACAAAGCAGGCACATAAAAAGTATTAGATGAATAGACAAATGGAAAATATGCATTAATTAGTTGCATCATTATTATTTGACTTGCAATACTTAGAACTTTCTAGTGTTAACTCATTTCTGTAAGCTATGAAATATGACCGGGGAAACACCTACACAGTGTCTAATATATTAAAATATTTCAAAACTTTTGACCTATATTGAATTACAAATATTATTAGAGCTTATAGCTCTAATGATAACTTCAAGCCCAAGTTTGCCAGTGAAAGAATCTACTATATGCTACAGAGTTTTTAACCTGAAATCCCAGCCTGGAATACTGGAATTTATCCATAATACTAAATTAATAAAAAGCTACATATACTATACAGCCCTCACTAAAACACGTAACTTTTTGAATTAGCCCTTCTCTAGGTAGATGGGAAATTCCCACCAGCAGGAGGGACATGTGTTAGATGTCCAAGATTGTGGCTAAGCTGCGTTTGCATTAATATTTACACTGGCCCTTCTGCAGGTTTATTATTTTCTCTTCAATTTGGGATGGGATGGGGACAATTTTGATTTTGTTCAAATATAAAAGATCTGCAATTGAGAATCAGAATTGAAGTAACGGAAACTTCAAAATAATTTTAGTTCCCCCAGTGAGCATTTAACCAAACAGGAAAACCACTGCATCTGCAGAGACAGTGGTAGGCAGGAAGTAGACAGAGGCCCTGCCATGTTTTATGTAAATATGTATGGTGCCAAGTACTGTCAAGTGCTTGTTATTTCATCAGAGAGATACGTATTCAAATACAAAGCCAGAGAACGTCAAAATATCTAAATTTTTGATACACTGAAGAAGATGGCTTTGTCTAATCTTGAGCTGATCTTTTTCTTTTTGTATTAATTAAAGGTTTCAGAGTATTTTATTAGTTAACGGATAAGACTGAGATATTAAAAGTTTTATCTAAACCCTTAATTCTCCCATTTCTTTCTACTGCACCGCCATCTACTAAAAACTCTTTTTGTACAGCAGGCTGCACTATAATATTTATATGTTGTAATGACAATGTATGTTGTAAGGAATTGTTTTCTTACTAAATATACTTTTAGATGCAACATAGAAATATTAATTCCCAATCTTAACTGCAAAAACTATATCTATGTATAGATACATAACAGTCATTAAGAGATGACATTTCTTGAGTTAGAGAGTTCACCAAACTTGTAAATAAATGGGAAAAAGAAGAGGTTTGATGAGAGACATATCGTCTGACATGTCTCTAGAATCAGGGAGTCTTTAAATTGGCAAAATCTGCTACAATGGGAATGGAGAACGTGTTACTACTTAATCTATTTTAAAATGTTCAGAAAGATTGGTTTTCTTAAAGACTTACAACTTGCTGCATCTCTTGAGCTTAAGTTTTAAAAATGTATTTTAGAAAGACATTTATCAAAAATATTATGAAAAATAATGAAAATAAATGAGTGAAAGTAATATAAAATATAAAAACTGAACATTTTATACAGAGTAATATTACCTTCTTCCTTTAAATTAAATAAAATCAAAGATTGATTTGGTTGGCTCATATAACTAAACATCAAGCTTTATTCCTATCATGGACAAAAACCTTGTTAACAAAATCACAATAAACCTCTTCTAGTTTATTAACTCTTCTTCCTTCCTCACAAAGGGGAGAGCTCTGGACTTTCCCAGTCTCTTGCAAAATCTCAGTCAAATGCTGCCAAGTGGTATTGGATAATATTTCATTTCTCTTAAGGATTAGGCCAGGGTGAGTCAGAAAAAAAAATTTCCACCTGGGAGGAGTTATTACCTCACATTTTAAAACATGGGTTGAAAATTTAATGCTGGCAGTTCAGCATTTTGGAGGCAAGGACATACAGTGTACATTAGAAACCTCTGACCAAAATGCTGTCTTTCTGGCTGTGGGATCAGCACTCTGTTTGCCATACAGAATTCTCCTTGAAATAACTGACTGCACAACTTGGCAAAGAATCAGAGAAGTTCAACTCCTGTGGAAAAGTTAAGGATTCAGGCTGAGGTTGCAGGAAAAAATAATATCTGGATGGTATAGGATTCGGGATGCTATTAAATGTTAAGTGTGTCTATGTGTGTATCTGTTCTCTGTAATTAGAAATAGACTTGGGATGTTTTACCATCCAATATGATAGCTACTAGCCATGTGTTAACTAGTAGTGCTTAAATTGTGGGTAGTGACACATGTTGAAATTATAATAGCTTGGATATATTGTGTTAGATTAAATACTGTTAAAATTAATTTTAGTTATTTGTACTTTATAATGTGAAATTAGAAAATTTTTTGTTGAATATGTGACTCACTTGTATTTATGATATATATTTACTCAATACACTCTTGCTCATTGGCAAGAAAACAGTTCACTTAGGTGCATGAGATTTCTAGAGTAAAATGTTGCTAAACTCAAACTGGTTTGATGAACACAAAAAAGGCTAAATTTGACCCAAATCATCAAGGTGTTTTTTTTAATAATAACCAGAATTTATCACTATATTTTTGGGTGGATCTGCTACCAAGGATTTCTCCCTTCTTTCCCACTCACAATACATCTCTTCATACTAGAGTTTAGTTAGATACAATTATAATTCCTACATTAATATGTTAAAAAACACTCCTCAGTATTTACCTTTTCTACCACTATCTTTAAGTGATACTTGGTTCCAGATGCAGATGTTAAATTTCTGTCATGTGATGTCATATGGTATTTCCTTTAGTTCCTACAGACATGGTTGGACCAGCTGAGCCAGCAGAAGAATCTAGAGATGCTCTGAAGCTTTGTCCTCGTGAAGAATTCCTGAAAGTGTGTAAAGAAAGGGCTGACGAGGTACTGTGTTCTGTAGATAAAGTAGAGAAAAAGAGAGAAGAGATTGCTTTCACTGAATATACTATCTCTTAGAGCACTAATGGCAGGGAGATGAGGTGCAGACAGAAGCTCTTTCTTAGATGCTTTGAGCAAGGAGGAAATACTATAGCCTCACACAAATTCCAATTTTCTTTCAATCCCATGATAAAGTATGCATCTCTCAGTATGCTTTCTTGTTCTCATACCTATTTGAGATTTATTATAATTCAGTTACAGTAATAAAATAAAAAATATTTATGAGTATAAGATAGCATGAATGAGTAGTTATTATCTGCATACTACTTGAAAAGCCTGGACATGAAACATGTTTTAAAAATATAATTAAACCCTGAGCTAACAGCAAATGTTTCCTGGCTTTCATGAAATTTGATCTGAACCTTGAATAGGAAGAATGATTTGTCTAGGTGAAGAGGATAGAGGAGAAAGTTAGGGTAGAAATTCTTGGAAAGAGGGTGGGAATGGCTGGGGTAGGGAGGAGTTGGGGGGGATGCAGACAACTGTACTTGAACAATAATAAAATTTAAAAAAATACAGAGATTTAGGTAAGTCAAAGTCACCACATATCTATTTCCTATAGATCTATTCAATAAAGGATGGAAAGGACCGTACTCGTCTGGCTCTCATTATATGCAACAGAGAGTTTGATCATCTTCCTCCGAGGGGAGGGGCTGAGCTTGACATCACAGGGATGAAGGAACTGCTCAAGGGCCTTGGCTATAGTGTGGAAGTGGAAGAGAATCTCACAGCCAAGGTAAGGGCCCCTCACCACCCCAAACATGTGTATATTACATGTTCAGTACACATCCTCCTACTAACAAAACTTTATAACATAAATAGCCAAACACTTTAAGAACCCTTGGTCACATGTTGTGTATGTATGTGTATGTGTGCATGTGAGTATATAAAATGATATTATACAGATGAAATTCGTCTTTTTTGAGCTCCAAATATTCTCAGTTCTACAAAAAGACACAAAAGTGATTGGCCTGTGTACTTATAAAATTCTTAGTTCCAAAGAGAGACGACTGAGATTTAGATCCAATATTCTCAGAAAACTTAACTCATAAATGTTTAGTAGACATGTATTCACCATGAAAAACAGTTGAGTCCTGCCTTTGTCCCAGGGCCTATTCCTGGCACTGGGGGTATGTCTGTGTATAAAGCAGGAAGTTCCAAGCTCCACTGAATTATATTCACTGGCAGTGATCCAATCCAACTAAAAGAAAAACAGAAAATTTCAGATATTTGGTGTTTCTGCATCTCTCTTTCTAAGAGTTTTAAAAAATAAAAATAAGTGAAAAAGAAAATATAAGGGCAAATTGGTGATCGGGGAGTACTTGTTTCAACAGATTGGTTAAGAAAAGTCCTGTTAGGAGACAATGGAGGAACTGACAGATGACAAGCCTGTAGTAGTGACCCAAGTTTGGAAACATGTGAATAAAATGCGTTCCAGGAAAGATGACTACAAATGAAAAGTCTAAAGTAAATGTAAAACTGGAAAAAAACAAAGGAAGGCCAGTGGTATTATATGTACAGAGAGGTTTTGAAGGGAAGTGGTATGATAGCTATATGACACAAGACTGTAATTAAGTGATGAGATAAAAGGCGGAAACAGAAAGAAAAAGATATGTAAGTGAAAATATGTGGGGGCAACTTTGCCCCAAAAGTCCCCCCATTTGCCACGGTTGAAATTGAAACTACCAAGACTGATCTGCTTGAGGAGGAAAGGTGGCTGATCCCTCAAAGGGGAAGGGCCAAGAGCCCCTTCCTCAATGGCCTTTTATTGGGTTCATTTGCACAAGAATACAGGTAAAGATCAAACAATAAATAGCATTCAAAAAACTATGAGGGCTTATTCTCAGTCAGGGTCAGATAGCTAAAGAGCCATAAAACTTTGAGGAACAAAATTCGTACTTGGACCCTTATCATTTGAGTGAGAGCATTCTCAAACAAAGCAGATTTCACAGGTTTTTACATATTCTTTCTTAAGGCCTGATCACCTGGGGAACCCGCCCTTTCCAGAACAGGGCTGCACCCCATTCCCCATCATAGGTTTTTAGACTTAAGTTGATTAGAGCCAGGAAGCACTGTTCCCAGATGAAAATGGGGACTCCAGCTATGTCAGCATAGCCAGGAAGCGAGGGTCTATCACTCCCTCTTTGTTGCAGCTCCCCGAGTCCTTCCATGGTGGCCTCTCAAGTGATGGTGTCTAGCTTAGGTTGCCCCTCCTCTGAGGGGCTGTACCCATCATAGACTAAACGGCCAAGCATTGGGGGCAGGGGAGGAGGCAGAAGCAGCATTTGCTACCAAAGACAATCTTTGTCTCCTAAGTGGCTCACATTCAGGAGGTTGCTCACTCAGCCTTAGCTATGGGGGGTAGTTACAACTCCTGAAACCAGGCAGAGTGGTTTCCAACAAAAATAAGCAAAAGTAAAAAATATCAAGAGGACAACTCATGTAATGTTAGCAGGAACAGACCTTTGAATCCACTGACCCATTATAGAAAGAAAAGGTAAACAGCTATGATTGAGCAAACACTATGTGAAGGCACAGTGATTGGAACGTGACAGATGTTTCTTATACGGCTCATGATAAGTAGGAAGTCAAATTAATGTTAATGCTTATCCTACTAAATTAAGACATAATGGTCTTTTTCAGGAGATGGAGTCAGTGCTGGAGGCATTTGCTGCCCGCCCAGAGCACAAGTCTTCAGACAGCACATTCTTGGTGTTCATGTCTCATGGCATCCTGACAGGAATTTGTGGGACTCTGCACAGAGATGAAAACCCAGATGTGCTGCTTTATGACACCATCTTTCGGATGTTCAACAACTGCCACTGCCTCAGTCTAAAGGACAAACCGAAGGTCATCATTGTCCAGGCCTGCAGAGGTGGTGAGTTCTGACAGGGAAAACCCAAAGTACCTGAATCATTTGCTGAGGACTGTGATGTTTGTTTTCATTTTAGGAGAAACGATCTTAGTCCCTGTTCAGGGCAAATGAAGTGAATTGAATTCTTGGGAAACTCCAGTTAAGTGGTTGGAATCATGAGAAAGTATCTTTTCAGCTGAGACATATCCATTTAGTTGAATCTAAGGAAAGTAATGAAGGAGATCTTTGGAATCCCTAAATCAAAGTTGAACAAAAATATTTCTCCATTGGAATAAAATCATTTGAATAACAGCTTTACTTGTAAATAGTTTACAGACATTCTGACATTCTCTGGATTGAGAAGAATTTCATTTGAAAGGGGAGCTATTCTGTAATAGCAGCACCCTCTTTTTACCTCATACAATGCTGACAGGGAACTGGGTGGGGAAATGAGGGTGCTTGGCATTGCTCTCAAATCTTTATTTATTTATTTTCTGACTTCCGGTTGTCTCTTGGATTTTTGGAGCCATGTTTAGAAAAGAAAAACAGAAATACTTTAGCTAAAAATAGTAACTATGCTCTGCAATGATGCACATAAGGCTTGAACTCCTTGGCTCTTCTTAGAAAATGGGTTCTTTCAGGTTTATATTACTATCACTCTTTACATACAAGATGCTTTCACTGTTAACTGGCACAGTGTTCAAAGACAGTAGAGAGAGGCCAAGTTGTGTGTGTGTGTGTGTGTTTCAGGGGGGGAGTTTAGTGTGTGTATGTGTTTGCCCTGCAATTATAAAAGTGGTGATGATTAACATTTCTTTATTGTTATTCACTTTTTAAAATGTGTTCATTTGAGAGAGAGAGGGAGAAAGAAAGACTGAATTTCTTTTGCACTTATTTATGCATTCTTTGGTTGATTCTTGTGTGTGCTCTGACCAGGATGGGACCCACAACCTTGTCCCATTGGGATGACACTCTAAGCAACTGAAGTCCCTGGTCAGGGAAAGAATAAACATTCAAAGAGAGTGAGGTGGGCAATTGTGACAGTCAAACTGAGGGAGGCACACAGTGTTTACAGAATTGTTGTCTCTCCAGCAAACCGAGGGGTACTGTGGGTCAGTGACTCTCCAGAAGCCTTGGCGGACAGCTCTTCACAGCCACGTGGGGACCTGGAGGAGGATGCTGTTCAAAGAGCACACGTGGAGAAGGACTTCATTGCTTTCTGCTCCTCAACCCCACGTATGTATCTCTCAGTTGCACACAAGGAATTTGGGGCCCTGAATGATTCTAGAATATCGATAGCTCTATGCAGCAATGATCTAAGGCACATTTTGAATGTTGCTGAAATAATTTACATGTATCTCATTACTTTATGGAAACAAAGATTCTTTATATTTTCTACTTTTAAAATTATACTTGGATTTTAAGTGTTCTACTTTATAAGATCAGGCAAACCAAACATTCAAACCACCTAATACGAGCCATCCAGTTGACCATACACCATTTAAAAACAAACGAATGATTCAGTTTTTCACTCTAGCCCTTTCTCCATAGTTGCCATTTGATGCTAGTTGGAGTGTGTCATTGCTTGCCTCAGAAGGGTGTGAATGTCCTTTAAAAGAGGTACAAAATGACACTCTGGGGCTAATGAGTCTTCATAGTAGTTTACAATGGTTTAGTCCTTGACCTCTAGGTAGTCATCTTAGCCTTACATTGCAATGTTTCTGATTTGAAAATTTCTGTTTTAAGTATTATTAAACCACTGCATAGAGTTTTAAATGACATACAAAAATACATATATACTTAATGTATGTAACATAATGAGTTGGATATAAGTACACATCCATGAAACCATCACCACAATCTATGTCCTGAACTTTTCCCTCCTCTTCAAAGGTTCTCTTTGGTTTTGTTCATTTGCCTTGATTATTATACTCTGAGAGACAGTGTGATTTTTACTCTGTAATCACCCTTTGGAACCAGGTGCCCATTCTTTGTTGTTTACTTCATGAGCATGGTGAAATTCTTTAACTCTCTGCGTGCCTATTCTTTCAACTGATAAAGCAGTAATTCCAGGTATATCTCAAACCTTTCAAATCAAGAGAATGAACATGAGGCACAAAGTGTCAGTTCCAAAAATATAATGAAGTCACCATACAATTCTGATCAGCCATCCCTTTAGTTAGTCTCTGCCAGTTTTTCCACTCTGTTGTAAATGAGCTAATGTTGGTATATATGAGCGTTTTCCTTAAACATGCAGATTAATTCCTAAGCTATGCCTAAAGGACATACCCATAAAACAAAAAGGTAATAAAAAAGTAGGTGAGGCCAGAGCCAAAGGCTTATCATTTCTTTTCTTCATAGATAACATATCCTGGAGAGACATCAAAAAGGGTTCATTCTTCATTTCACAACTGATCACATGCTTTCAGAAATATTCTTGGTGCTGTCACCTTGAGGAAGTATTTCGGAAGGTAACCTTCTTAGTCACTTTGTTTTTTCAGGAAGTCTTACTCCTATACTAATTCAAGTTACAATGACTGATTTTGTCAGGGAAACAAAAGTATAACAGTGCCATTATTTCTGTTACCTGGGGTTTTAAAATCTGTTATTAGTGAAAGAATATGTTAATACACCACAGCAGCAAATGAAAAGAGAGCAAAATCATAAAAAATAGAAGCTCATATATTATGGACTATACTTTTCTAAAATACAAAAAATGGAAAGTATTTTGAATTAAATTTTGTTGCTTAACTTATTAAATAAGTATGTGTTGGGGTTCTACATATAATTGCCACAATCCTGCTGACACAGGGGCAGATGACACATTGTGTCATAAGGCTACTGGTGGCCTACATTATTGTGAGAGATGTATACTAAATAAGTAGGCCAACAAAAACCGTGTCAGTATGGATTGTGATAGAATCCATAACAAAAGCATTCTAGGGCACTGAAAGAAATTAAAGAAGACATTCTTTGAATGGAGTAGTCCAGAAAGGAAGATTCTATTTCTTTCCCAGTTTAGAATATGCCTTATTCCCCCCTGCCTCCTAATTTGTTTTCCTCCCCACTTCTGATCACCACTCATTTGCTATACATATGACTTGTTTTTTAACCTGTAATTACTCACTTGAATGCAAACTTTGTGAAGGCAGGAATTTGTTCCACACTTCACCATGTTGGCACACATGAAATAACATTTATTCGACACAAGACATGAGTAAATGTACAGATGCTCCTCGGCCTTCTTCTTTAGCGAGAAATGTACTGATAGTAAGAATATGAGAAAGTGTGGCTGTTTTTATCCTAAACTCAAAACTGTAGAGAACAATACAGACCTGTGGGAAAGAACAATATATCTTTATTAGAAATGGAGAGGATCACACTGTAATGTCAGTTAGGGTCTCTGAGAATGGGAACTCAAAGTTGAGTCCCATTGGATGAATAGGAATTAGACATTGTAATCTCAAGGACATTGCTAGAAGAATATTAGAAGTAGGACCTCATAGATCAGTCCATGGAAAACAACAAACAAACAAATAAACAAACAAACAAAACTTCAGAGTCAATATGGTGGTGAGGATGTGGAAGTTGTTGTGTTCAGGTTTTAAGGTCAAAAGTTGGGGTTTTTTGCCTCATTGAATTGATGATCTAGTCTTTGAGGTTGGAGGTAGAGGATAGTTGAGACTCAGTTCAGATATGTAGAATAGAGATGGAAAAGAAATAAAGAAGAAATGCAGATAGAAAATTCTTGGATTAGACATGAGGCATTTGTTCTGAGATAGAGTGTTTTCTAACATGGGGAATTACTTCTAAAAGTAGGGAGGCAGTGACTGGACATTAGAATGGCTATGGTCTTGCTCCCATCAACCATAATAGCACCTTTCATTCCCAGAATTTGTTGGCTCATGGTGCAAAATGTTTTCTGAGAGTGGCTAAGAGTTATGTTTTATCTTTTGCCTCTTTTTTTTTTCAGGTACAACGGTCATTTGAAAAGCCAGATGTTAAAGCCCAGATGCCCACCATTGAACGATTATCCATGACAAGATATTTCTACCTCTTTCCTGGCAACTGAAAACAGTAAGTATCAGAGTTGTTGACCCTCCTGGTAACTGAAAATAGTAACTGTTGGAGTTGTTGGCAGGTAAATTAAATGAGAGAGTAATATTGATAGTGATGTCCAATGACAAATGATAGCCAATTGCTTGGGTGGTCAGATTACTGTTACTTGTTGATATAGCTTGGCAATTAGAATTTTTTGTTTTTTTTCCATAAACCCATTTGTTTACTCCTCCACCTCCAAAATTAATTAATTAATCAATCTGTCAGTTCATCAAGGAGATAAGCCTGATGAAGGTGGAAAGAAATAAACAATGAAGGACACAGGGTAGCAATTACTAAGACAAAAGTGTAATCATGCTTCCATTATTAGTTATACTTCCTTCTCTCCCCCTCCCAGCCTCTAGCTCTGTCTCTGTTTTTCTCTCCCTGACAGACACACAGACAAACACAAGCACTCACAGACACTGAGTTACCAAAGTTGCCTCAGATACTGAAAAATGCTAAAAACAGAGGAATTGACTTTGAGTTACCACATTACTGACATTGAACTCCCATTACCAGATGATATAAAACATACCCTGGGGTGTAATGTTTGTGGCAATGCAGATTCTGGTTCTCTGACTTTTCTGACAGTGTATATCACAGAATACTCAGAGTCTGCTCTCAGATTCTTAGTTACTTCTGAGAAACCTCTTTAAGCTTCCATTTTAATACTTACACATTTTTGGTCAAAATATTTTAAATGAGCCCATCAAGTTTAAACCAAACAATGAATTTACTCTCTACTGCTTCATGCCAAACTGTGTAATAATTATATGTATAATAGGTATGTTATTAATTTTCCTCTCAGCCACATAATTACAATCATATAGTAAAGTTTATGTCAATACTTTAAATCTATCTTCACCATCCCTTATCCTTGGTTTCTGTGTCTCTGTTTGGATAATTGCATAAATACTTCTTCACCAGAGTAGCTTTTATTGCCTAATTAGTACAATAGAACAACATTTAGGAATTGAGCTATTTGATTAATATTTATCTAGCACTTACTAGGTTCCAAGTTCAGTTTTATAGGCTGGGAATATACCAGCCTACAAAGTCAATGGAGTCCTTGCTCTCGGAAAGCTCACACTGTAGTGAATAGAGACAGACTCTAAATACACAAGATGAGAAGTACCAGAGAGTGATCAGATCTGAGGAGAAAAATAAATGAGACTAAAGAGATGGGTATTGTTTGTACTAGAGTAGAATATTCAGAACAGGCTTCTTTGAGTAGGAAAATAATGAAATCACAACAGAGAGTGAAACGAGTAGGGTAGTGTACCCTGTGATTCTATGCATAGAGTGTTCCAGCACAGGGACTAGCATGTAAAAAATCTATGAGGCAGACATGTGCTCACATTTTTGAAGCTCTGCCAAAAGATAGTGGGCTGGAGGAGAAAGAGAGTGGGAAAAAATAGCAGAGAAAATTTGAGAAATATGGTAAAAAGCTTAACCACATGGGCCTTGGTAATCTCATGGTAAATGTTCTAAAACTTTGATGCTGAGTGATGAAGGAAACCCTTTTGATCAGAGGAATGAGATGATCTAATTAGGTTTTCCAAAGATCACCCTTAGTAATTTTTATGAATATACTTCAATGGTCAGAGTTTGATGCCAAGGGCATGGTAAAAATCCATGGAAAAAGATGAAAAAGAATCATCATAAGGAATGGATTGAGGCTTCTGGGGATTATTAGGCTGGACAAAAAGTTTGTTTTCTCTCATCAGCTGGCTCTAGTAACTTAGTTGTCTTTAATTTCATTTGAAACAATTTTGTTAGATTATTTGTGACAGATGTCATATCAGCATGTGTTTAAAAAAATACTTATTAGTCCTGACTGTTGTGGCTCAGTGGATTGAGTGCTGGCCTAAGAACAGAGGGCTCACCTATTCAATTCTCATTCCTGGGCACTTGCCTGGGTTGCAGGACAGGTCCCCAGTCTAGGGCATGTGGGAGAAAACCACACATTGATGTTTCTTTCCATCTCTTTCTCCCTGCCTTCCTCTCTTGAATAATAAATAAATGAAATTTAAAAATATTTATTAAAATTGGTGAGTATTTGTGTAGCTATTGTAATATTGATGGAAGAAAATATACAACATTTTTACATAATATACTTTGCTATTTTAAGAAAGGTAGAAACATAAAAATGATTTGTGTAGTGAATGGAGAAAGTGCTCTGACTGATAGGATATGTCAAAAGCAGTTAGTGAAGTTTAGTGTTGGAGATTTCTCTCTGGACAATGCTCTACATAGTCAAGTAGACCAATAAAATTCATAGTGATCAAATTGAGACATTAATTGAGAACATTCAATGTTATACCACATGGCAGGTAGCCAACATATTCAAAATATCCAAATCAGTAAAGTTATTGGTGAAAATTTTAAAAAGTGTCTTTTATTTTATGGGGAAAATTAAAAAACCCTAAATGAACTTTGGGGCCAACCAAACACTATACTGAACTTCTGTACTTTTTTCTTCTTCAGGAAATTACAGGAAGTCCAGCCCTATTACCAGCTTCCAGAAGCACCTTTTCCAGAATGGCACAAATATTTAATCTTTTGTATTTAAATAAAAATGAAACAAATAAACTGTGTTTTGGGTCCTTTCTTTTAGATTTATTTACTTTTACAAATGTTTTTAATTGTAGTGGACATTCAGTATATGTTAGTTTCAGTGTATAGTCTAATTGTTAGATATTTGTATAACTTGTGAACTGATTCCCCCTGGTAAGTCTTGCTCCTGTGTGACGTCATACATTTTTCATCAGTATTACTGACTCTATTCCCCATATTGTACATTAAATCCTATGACTGTCTTAACCACTTCACATTTTTCACCCAACCCTCCATCTCCCCTTCCATCTGGGAAAAATCAGTTTGTTCCTTATATCCATAAGTATGTTTCTGTTTTGTTTGTTTATTTTGTTCTTTATTTCCTTTTTTATTGAATTTATTAGGATGACTGTGGTTAACGAAGTATATGGGTTTCAGGTGCACAATTCCATAACACATCATCTAAACATTGTATACTGTGCTCACCACCCCAAGTTGAGTCTTCATCCATCCTCATTTATTCCCTCATATACTCTTCCACCTCAGCTACTCTCTTTCCCCCCATGGCCCCCACACTCTTGTCTATGTCCATGAGGTTGTTCTTTGTTTTTTCCTCTTCAATCTCTCCAACTCCCCTCATCAAATTTCAGTTAAAATGGTGGGTGAATAAAAATGAAATGGAGGAAGCTAACTGGACTTTCTAGCTTATGACTCATATCATATTTGCATTCACTGAGTGAAAAGACTGGCCAGGACTTGACCTCAGCAACAGGGTGAAAGGAGATGGTGCCCATATGGAAGACCAGAACTATAAAATGGTCAGCTCCTCATCAATGTACTCATCAACCCCGAAGTCTACAGTGGTACAGAGTTTTCCAGCTCATTCCTTAGCCAGCATCATAGGTTCAGCTAATATTTTCCTGAGTAAACTAATATTTTAGCCAATTATTCCCATGTGCCTTTCTTTCTTTCTACAAAATAAATACACTTTCTTATTTTCTTTCCAGATATGTGCCTATTTCCAAACTTCGGGAAAATTCTACTCTTTCACAAGCATTTAGCTATTGTCTAAAATAATTTGGCTGTTGGTTAAAAATGGTATAAACTTATCGTATTTATATGAAAATAGAAATATCATCAGATAAAGGACAGAAAGAGAATGGGAAGTGTCAGCAATAGAAGAGAGAATGTCAACATTTATGGGAGGGTTAACGCTGGTAGAGGAATTTTTTCAACATGTTTATCAGAGTTTCTCAGTAAAAAGATGTACCCATTCTGTCCCCCACACACAGAATGCTGGATAATTATTTCAGTGTACAGCTCAAATGACTTAAAATAAGAGAATGGTCTAGGCTTCAAATATAGCCATAATCATTGATATTTATGTATATTAAATGTACATCAATATTATTTTAAGGATGCTGAGTATTTTAAGGGTTTGTATATAAACAACTACTTTAACTTTCACGGCAACTCTATAAAGTAATTACTATTGATATCTCCATTTTACCCACTATAAATCAAAAGAATATAGAGCTTAAGTGACTTGCCCAAAGTCACACAGTTTATAGGTGGACACACCAGGATTTGAATGCAATCTGAGTTGCTCTAGAATCTGAGTTATTAACCACTGTACTGCACTTTCTGCAAAGCAATGAAAAACTGAAATGATAAATGTCCTTACTTCCGAGTTTTAACTGAATCTTGGTTTATAAGGGTTAATTGACACTACAAAAATTTATGATTTTTATATTACTTATCATTATCAAAAGTGATATTGTTCTACAGACAATTCTGAAGGGAGGATTTTTAAATCAGGGTGCTTCCTTTTAAACACTACTTGTAATTAGACTGCTCCATTAGGTTATTCTATGATTTTGTCTGTGCGATAGTCTATCTATGTAATACAATTTTCTTGGTATATATCTGAATTAATAAGCATCATCTCTAAAATTTTATTTTCATTCCATCTACAAATCCACATCCAACTGTAGGTTATTCCATTTTAGTCACTACGGAAAACTCTTCTCTTACCAGAGTTTCAATCAAATTTTTGAGGCTTGAGCACGTTGTACCTAAAAATAAAAGACAACAAACCCTTTTAAATGGAGTATATCATTATGACCATTGACTTTAGTTTTTGAAATTCAACATTATTATAGTATAACTTACATAACAAAATATATTCCTTTTAAGAATATAATCTGATTATTTTGGACAAATGAATACTGTATTATAACACTATCAAGATACAGAACATTTTCACTGCCCCAGAATGTTCCTTCGTGCCCTTTGCACATGACTCCTCTCCACCTTCTCCTCAGGGAAACAGTGATCTGATTTCTATCAAAATACGTTAGTTGTTCCTATTTGGGAGCTTTGTTTTTTTTTTTAATTTTTTTAAACTTTTAAAGAAAATTTTGATATCACATTACACCTAATTTGTCACTTTCTTTTTTTTTAATTTAATTTATTTATCTTTAGGGGGGAAGGGAAGGAGAGAGGGAAAGAAACATCAATGTATGGTTGCCTTTCGTGCGTCCCCTGCTGGGAAGTGGCCTGCAACCTGGGCATGTGCCCTGACTGGGAATCGAACCGCAATTGTCTGGTTCGCAGGCCCGCGCTCAATCCACTGAGCTACACCAGCCAGGGCTTGGGAACTTTAAATAATTTGAATTATAAGGTATATATTCTATTCTACATGACCTCTTTCACTCATAGTACGAGCATAATGTTTTCATCAAGTTATTACATTTATTAGTTACATTAGTAAATTGTCTCTGTTTTATTACTGAATTGTATCATTGTATATGCATTAGCACAATTTGTTTACTCATGCATGCACCTATAGTAGACATTTAGAATGTTTTCAGTTTTCAGTGTCTTCATTTTGGGGACACAGTGGGCCCTTGCTATGTAATGTTTCCCCATTCAATGGGGAAGCTTCCCAGGGTCAATGCTTATGGTTCTGTATCCCTGGGCACACTGCCCTGCCATTGTTTCTGTGGCTCTGATGCAACCTCAGCCTGTTTCAGCTCAGTGATGTGTAACTTTGCTTTATAGAGATATCCTCATGTGAAGCCCTTAACATTTCAGAAATAAATGAATAAACATGAATGTGTAAAGGAGGCAATGTACCTACAATCTCTGCTTTCTTCCCTACAACTAGTCTCCCTGTGGCAAGAAGCACAGGACTGTGTTACAAACAGGATCCGGTAAGTAGTAAAAATAAAAACATCCTGAGAAAACCCTTAGATTAAAATCTATGCAAAGAATTTTAGCCTAATTAGAAATAAATTTAACACTTGACCTAGAACACAGAGAAAAACTAATGGCCCACATATTAAAATACAATTTGTTTTTAATGGTATAGAGTTTCAAAATAAATGCAATACAGGTATCAATATTTAATTTACATATTTCCTGTGTGTATGCCTCCCAAACACAGGCACTTTTAATGTTTATTAAATCTGGGTTGTTATCCTCAGAAGTAACTAAGGTAATAATCCCATGGGCATTTTTAGTAAATAAATTGATAACTTTGAAAGACTGATAGTCCCACCTTATTGAATATTAATTGACCATAGAGACTTAGGTTTATTTCTGGGCTCTCTGTTCTGTTCCATTAGTCTATGTGCCTGTTTTTATGCCAGTACCAGGCTGTTTTGATTACAGTGGCCTTGTAATACAATTTAATATCAGGTATTATGATCCTTCCTACTTTTCTTTCTCAAACTTGCAGAAGCTACTTGGGGTCATTTATGGTTCTTTATAAATTTTTGAAGTGTTTTTTCTATGTCTGTATCTGTGTTTGAAATATGCCATTGGTACTTTAATAGGTATTGCATTGAATCTGTATATTGCTTTGGGTAGTATAGACATTCTGATGATGTTAATTCTTCTGATCCATGAACATGATATATGTTTCCATTTGTTTGTGTCTTTTTTGATTTCTTTCTTCCGTGTTGTGTGGTTTTCTGAGTATAGGTCTTTTACCTCCTTGGTTAGATTTGTTCTTAGGTATTTTATTTTTTGTCATTGTTGTTGTTGCTGTATCAAATGGGATGTTTTTCTTGATTTCTGCTTCTGATGTTTCATTGTTGGTACACAAAAATGCCTTTAATTTCTGGATATTGACTTTGCATCCCACTGTTTTGCCAAATTTATTTATTAGGTCAAGCAGTTTTTGGCCAAGTCTATAGAATTTTCTATGCACACTATCACGTCATCTGCAAAAATGACATTTTTTTCCGATCTGAATGCCTTTCAAATTTCCTCCATTCTGATTTGAATGCCTTTCATTTCCTTTTCTTGTCTGATCACTGTGGCTAAAACTTCCAATAATATGTAGAATAGAAGGGTAAAAGTAGACAACCTTGTCTTGTTCCTGATCTTAATGGAAAAGCTTTTAGTTTTTACCCATTGAGTATGATGTTGGCTGTAAGTCTTATATATGGCCTTTATTATGTTGAGGAATGCTCCCTCTATTCCCACTTTGCTGAGTGTTTTTATTATAAATGGGCTCTGTATCTTATAAAATGTTTTCTTCTACATTTATTGATATGATCATGTGATTTTTGTCTTTGCTTTTGTTTATGTGATGCATTACATTTATTGATTTGCAAATATTGTACCATCCTTGCATCCCTGGGATGAATCCCACTTGGTCATAGTATATGATCTTTTTAATGTATTGTTGGATGTGGTTTGCCATTATTTTGTTGAGGATTTTAGCTTTTGTGTTCATCAGTGATATTGGCCTGAAGTTTTCTTTCTTTGCTGTGTCATTATCTGGTTTGGGGATTAGGATGATGCTGGCTTCATAAAAAGAGTTTGGGAGTCTTCCATCATTTTGGATTTTTTCAAATAGGCAGTGAAGGAAAGGGGTTAACTCTTCCTTAAATGCTTTGTAGAATTCTCCTGTGAAACCATCTGGTCCAGGGCTTTTGTGTGACAGGAGTTTTTTGATTACTGCTTCAATTTCATCTGCTGTTATTGGTCTGCTCAGGCCTTCTGCTTCTTCTTTATCGAGTTTTGGAAAATTATGTTTTTCTAGAAATTAGTCCATTTCACCTAGGTTTTTAAATTTCTTGGCAACAAACAGTAAGTGTTGAAGAGGTTGTGGAGAAAAGAGAATGCTAGTGCACTGTAGGTGGGGTTGCAGACTGGTACAGCAACCACTATGGAAAACAGTATGGAATCTTTCTAAGAAAACTAAAAATGGATCTGCTTTTTGACCTGGCAATTCCACTGCTAGGATTATATCCTAAGAACCCTGAAACACCAATCCAAAAGAACCTGTGCACCCCATTGTTCATAGCAGGACAATTTACAATAGCCAAGTGCTGGAAGCAACCTAGGTACCCATCAGTAAATGAATGGATCAAAAAACTATGGTACATTTGCACAATGGAATTTTATGCAGCAGAAAGAAAGAAGGAGCTCCTACCCTTTGCAACAGCATGGATGGAACTGGAAAGCAGTATACTAAGCAAAATAAGCCAGGTGGTAAAAGATAAATACCATATTATCTCACCTTTAACAGGAACCTAATCAATAAAACGAACAAACAAGCAAAATATAACCAAAGACACTGAAATAGAGAAAAGGCTAACAGTGACCAGAGGGGAGAGGAGAAGGAATTTCAGGGGATGGTGGAAGGGTTTACAGGAACTAGTATAAAGGACACTTGGACAATAACAAGGAGGGGTGGAGATGGGAGCGAGGAAGGAAACACTGAGGGGGGTGGGCTGGGATGAGGGTAAAGGGCAGAAAACTGTACTTGAACAATTAAAATTAAATAAATATATAAAACTGAAAAAGACAATAAAGTAAAATAAAAATTAAAAATAGATAAAATGAAGGGAAAAAGAAAGACTAATAGCTATTTTGTTATTAGTCCATTTTCTACCAGCCTTATCTATAAGATGACTTATTTATGTTGAGTTTTTTGTGGGGACTAGCAATTGAACATGTACTTACTTAAAGCGGTGACCTCTGTAGACATTCCTGAGCTCCTCTGTCTTCAGATTTAATGCCTTCCAGTATTTCATAAACCAGTTGTCTCATTAATTTCTTCTCCTTAGCACTTACCATACTCTGACATTATCCCAGTTACATATGGGGTTTCTTGTTTGTCTTTTGTCATTGAACATGAAGCTGAGGGCATTCATTCATTTATCACATCATTTGATAAATGAATGAATGAATGAGATGCATGAGGATTCTCACCAAAGATAAATTTAACTAGATAATGTGCAAAAAACTAACACTGTGTAGTTATTTAATTTTTAATTAATAAATATTTAAATTGAAAATAATAGTGTTAACAAATAATAATATAGTATGCTTACAATGTGCCAGACAATGTTCTATGGCAGTTTCCACATTTTTATTCAATTAGTGTTGAGAGATGTGTAGATATATACTATTAACTAAATTATTTTACAAATAGAGGAACCAAAGAATGGGAAAGATCAAACCTTGCCCAGGAATGGAAGGTTAAGTTGCTACATCAGATGTTCTGTGTCCAGAGCCTGAGCTGTTCGTCTCTACAGTGTCTCACAACACAGAATCATCTGAAAAGAGTGTTAAATAAGAAAATATTTGAGCCCTAGCTGTTGTGGCTCAGTGGCCTGGTGCTGGCCTGTGAACCAAAGGGTCAGTGGTTCAATTCCTAGTCAGAGGACAGGCCTGGGTTGCAGGCCAGGTCCCCAGTTGTGGGTGCACAAGTGTCAACCACACATTGATGTTTCTCTCCTTCTCTTTCTCCCTCCCTTCCCCTCTCTCTAAAAGTAAATAAATCTTAAAAATATTTGATTCTAGTGAAAATGCCTCCATTGGTGATAGCAAAACTGCTTCTCAGGAACACATAGTTCCTAGGACACAGAGCAGACAGGCAGGATGGGGGCGGGGTCACAATGGTTCAACTTCTTCAAACATTATAGATTGAATGTATGGGCTTTTCCAGTATTCATCATTTAAAACCTAATGCCAGTATTAGTGACATTATTAAGTGAGAGTATTAAGAGTTGGGACTTTAGGGAGTTGACTTGGTCATGAGGGCAGAAACCTCATGAAAGGGATTCATGCCTTTATACCAAAGACTCAAGTTAGATATCTCGAACTTCCTGCTATTATGAGCACATGGTGAGAAGTCAACAGTCTGCAGCCCAGAAAAGGGCCTTTACCACCACCCAGCTGGCATCCTGATCTAGTGCTTCTAAACTACAGAACTGTGAGGAATAAATCCCTTTGTTTGTAAGCCACCCAGCCTGTGGGTTGTTTTAATAGTACCATAAATGTACTATGACAACGATGGATGAGTTACTTTTCCAGAGTACACTTTCTAACAAATGAAAGATTCATCATTGGGTGAGTTTAACTGTATGCATGCTTTCTTTCTTCCTTCTTATTCTCAAGGTTCCACGCTCTTCCTACCCTGACCTGATCCGAGGGCTGGTGAAGGAATTTCCCTAGAACATACTAACAGATGCACTCCAAGGTTAAGCAATCTGTTTGTTACTATAGAGAAAAGACGAAAAAAACCACAGGCAAGTATTTGCATGAGCAGTTAGTTGGTATGTCCTAATATGTATACACAGGCTGATGAAAAGGAAGTTTCAACACACTTTCACTTTCTAAGAGCAAGAACGAGAGACGAAAGCCATGGCTGGTGAGTTTTTGTTTTTTTGTTTGTTTATTTTGGTTGTTTACTGTCTAAAAGGAAATGTCTTGAGGAAAATTTTTGAAAGATAGCTGGATTTGGGGGAAGCTATAATTAAGTTTGGTGAATGTTTAAGTGAGTAGCAATGAGGGAGAGGGAAGAAAGAGGAGGGAGGTGAAGGAAGTAGAGTGGGGCAGAGAAGGCTATCAGAGCTTTCAGAAAGAAAAGGCATGAGCCAGAAAGGAACTGGGGCTTCACTGGTATTCTGCTGTCATCTTGCAATCTAACTGAATAATCCCACAAATGGTGCACAATTGCAAAAGATAGAAACAGGTAGCTGTCCTCCCCAAGGGAAATGGCCTATCACTGTTTCATCCTTTTATTATGCAGAGTTGAATAAACACGACTAACTGTCAGGATCATCCCTGGTGTTCAGGCACTAATTAGTGATTGTAAATCTCAGGCTTCAGGCCATTCAGTGAGTAGACATCGGTATTACTGAGGGAAGAATGAGAGATGTGGTTATCCTCAGGGTGACTGAACTGCATGGAGGGGAACATTTAATGAATTAATCTAAAGGATCCTACCCCCTTTTTGCTGACATGAGAGGGGAATGAGGTTGTTTTAGTGATTTGAGGAATCTTTGTGCTTCAAACAGACATGGTTCTGAAGTCAAAGAGGAAGGTGTTTATCCAATCAGTGAGCACTGGCACAATAAACAGCTTGTTGGATGAACTATTGGACAAAAATGTGCTGAGCCCGGAGGAGATGGAGATAGTAAAATATGAAAATCACACAGCTATGGATAAGGCCCGACATTTGATCGACTCCGTCATTCGGAAAGGACACCATGCAAGCCAAATATTTATCATTCAAATTAGTACATGTGACCCCCACCTTGAAAAGAAGCTGGGGCTCTCCTCAGGTAAGATCAACAACTCAGACTAAGGTTCATGTAGGCCCTGCACATTTGTACCCATATCTGATTTCTTCATTGGTCCTGTTAGTGTGCAGACAACTTCTTTATGTCTGGCTTCAGGGCCCCATTTCTAAATTCATGGCACTATTGTTTGTTCCCTGTCTCTTTACTCTTTGTTCTTACTACTTTAGCCTCAATAGCCTTCTTTTGATGAAACTCATTTCCCATCCTGACTTTGTAGCATTTCAGCTGTTAAAGTTCATGAGAACAGTCTGTAAAACTTCACACTATATGTTCCAGTTCTCTGGGCAAGACCCGTTGCTTATTTATTTATTCAGTTAGTTATTAATCAGTTAGGTAAGCCTAGGGATTCTTAGAATTTATGTAGTTATCTGACATGAAGACGTAAGGTCTGTAATCATATACTTTTTATAATTACCCATCCAAATTTTGCTCTCCAGGAGGAATAAAACATATTTCAATGATGGTGAAATACTCAGAGAACAAATTCAATGCTTGTAGAAAAGCCAGGATTTTAAAAGTAGACCCTTTCTTCTAATTGGCCCTCCTGCATTTTCTTTTGAAAAACAATGTTTACTAGCACGGAACTAGGCTGTGGACCATTGTGTAAGGCCCACCCCCACTACCTCCCATCCTCCTGAGGCCTTGATACAGGATTCAGGCAACAGATCTGCCCCTTCTTTAGTTCCTCAGTCCCTCCACACAGCACAGACATAAGTTCGGATGAACTCCCAGTGACTGGTCCCTTTCATGCTTCCCATGTGAAATCAGAAGGGAAGTTTTTTCTTCAAAAGTAAGAAGCCTTTTTTTTTTCCTAAAGACTAGGAAAGGCTATGCCTCTTTTATTGAAAATTGTATTTTATAGGAAATTCATCTATGGTTAATTTTTGTTTTTCTTTTAGTACATCTTTTTTTATTTAACACTCCTCCAAACTATGAAATCAGACTCAGAGAATTTCAAATTTGTGGTCAGCAAAAATATGGAAAATCAATTGTGAGGTATTAAATTATATTTGTAATGGATAGCATTCTGATATATATTTACTCAACATGTATTTTTGCTTATTGATAAGAAAAAAGGTCAACTAGGTGCATGAGATTTCTAGAGTAAAAAATGAAAACTCAAATTTCTTTTGATGAACATAAAGGCTAAATTTGACCCAGATCATCAAGGTTTTTCTTGATAATAATCAGAATTTATCATTATGTTGGTTTTTGGGTGGATCTGCTACCAAGGATTTCTCCCTTCTTTCCCACTCACAATACATCTCTTCATATTAGAGGTTAGTTAGATACAATTATAATTCCTACATTAATATGTTTTAAAAACCTCCTCAGTATTTACCTTTTCTACCACTATCTTTAAGTGATACTTGGTTCACAGATACAGATGTTAAATTTCTGTCATGTGATGTCATGTGGTATTTCCTTTGGTTCGTACAGACATGGTTGGACCAGCTGAGCCAGCAGAAGAATCTAGAGATACTCTGAAGCTTTGTCCTCGTGAAGAATTCCTGAAAGTGTGTAAAGAAAGGGCTGACGAGGTACTGTGTTCTGTAGATAAAGTAGAGAAAAAGAGAGAAGAAATTGCTTTCACTGAATATACTATCTCTTAGAGCACTAATGGCAGGGAGGTGAGGTGCAGAGAGATGAGGTGCAGACAGAAGCTCTTTCTTAGATGCTTTGAGCAAGGAGGAAATGGTATAGCCTCACACAAATTCCATTTTCCTTTCAATCCCATGATAAAGTATGCATCTCTCAGTATGCTTTCTTGTTCTCATACCTATTTGGGGTTTATTATAATTCAGTTACAGTAATAAAATAAAAAATATTTATGAGTATAAGATAGCATGAATGAGTAGTTATTATCTGCATACTACTTGAAAAGCCTGGACATAAAACATGTTTTAAAAATATAATTAAAGCCCGAGCCAATAGCAAATGTTTCCTGGTTTTTATAAAATTTGATCTGAACCTTGAATAGGAAGAATGATTTGTCTAGGTGAAGAGGATAGAGAAGAAAGTTAAGGCAGAAATCATTCTAGTCTCCTCAAGATTCTTGAGTAACTATCCCAAATGTGTTCTGGGCTCTTTAAAAAATGAATCACTTTTATTTTTAAATAATCTAAAGGTTCTAAGTCACCTATTGTCAATTCATTAGGAAGAAAATGGCAGGGTCTCTGGTACAGGAAGGGGAAAGGGCAGGTATATGAGCTTGTGACAAAGCAACAGTGATTAGTGAATAGGAGCTTAAAAGAGATTGAGGTAAATCAAAGTCACTGCATATTCATTTTCTATAGATCTATTCAATAAAGGATAAAGAGATTGAGGTAAATCAAAGTCACTGCATATTCATTTCCTATAGATCTATTCAATAAAGGATGGAAAGGACCGCACTCGTCTGGCTCTCATTATATGCAACAGAGAGTTTGATCATCTTCCTCCGAGGGGAGGGGCTGAGCTTGACATCACAGGGATGAAGAGGCTTCTTGAGGGCCTTGGCTATAGTGTGGAAGTGGAAGAGAATCTCACAGCCAAGGTAAGGTCTCCTCATCCACCCAAACATATATTACATGTTCAACACACATCCTCCTACAATCAAATTAATTTTATAGTCTGAGCCAAACACCTTAACAACCTTCAGACACTTATTTTGTGTGTGTATGTGTGCATGTGTATATATCAAATGAAAGTATTAGAGAGGCGAAAGCTCTGCCTCTTGAGCTCCAAATTTTCTCAATTCTATAAAAAGAGAAAAAAAGTGATTGGCACGTGTACCCATACAATTCTTAGTTCCTAACAGAGATGATTGGGATTCAGATCAGATATTCCCAGGAAATTCTTAAATAATGAATGTTTAGCAGGTGTGTACTCACCATATAAATTCTGAGTCCTGACTTTGTCCCAGGGCCTATTCCTGGCACTGGAGGTAGACCTGTGAATGAGGCGGGGAGCTTGGATTGTTTTATGTTAACTGGTATGGGCAATCCAACTAAAAGCCAAACAGAAAATTTCAGAGATTGGGTATGTCTACATGACTCTGTAAAAGTGAAAAGACAGATATAAGTTAGTAGGAGAAAAAGGAGCAAATTGGTGATCATATACTACTTGTTTCAATGGAATGGTCAAGATAAGTCTTATTAGGAGAATATATTGAAGCTGACAGATGACTATCAGTAACAAGGCAGGTCTGAAAATATGTGAATTAAATACATTCCAAGAGTAACTACAAAGGAAATGTCTAAACTACATACAAAAATGGAACATGAAAAACACAAGAAGACCTGAGTAACAAGAGCTTTACAGGAGAAACAAGACAGGCCAGAGGAAGTACACATTAGTCAGAAGTTTGATTTTATTCTAAGTACAGAGAGAAGGGTATTTGAAAGAAAGTGGTATGATAAATTTATGACCCAAGACTCCTATTAATTAATGATATGAAAGACAGTAATAGAAAAGAGTGTGTAAGTGAAAATAAGGCCATGTAAAATATATCAAGAGAACAGCTCAAATAATGTTACCAGGAACAAACAGTTGCACCCCCTGCTACACTGTAGACAGAAAAGGTATACAGCTACCTGAGTAACCACTATGTGAAGGTACAGTGATAAGAACATTATAGAGGATTTTCTTTTTAAAAAATACTTTGTTAATTAATTTATTAGTTTATTTTTGAGCATGGGAGGGAGAAAGAGAGGAAGAGAAACATCAGTATGTGGTTGCCTAGCACAAGCCCCCAAACAAGAGACCTGGCCTGCAACCCAGGCATGTGCCCTGACTGGGAATTGAACCAGTAACACTTTGGATTGCAGGCTGGCACTCAATCTACTGAAACACACCAGCCAGGGCAATATAGATGTTTCTTATACGGCTCATGATAAGTAGGAGGTCAGATTAATGTTAATGCTTATCCTACTAAATTAAGACATAGTGGTCTTTTTCAGGAGATGGAGTCAGTGCTGGAGGCATTTGCTGCCCGCCCAGAGCACAAGTCTTCAGACAGCACATTCTTGGTGTTCATGTCTCATGGCATCCTGACAGGAATTTGTGGGACTCTGCACAGAGATGAAAACCCAGATGTGCTGCTGTATGACACCATCTTTCGGATGTTCAACAACTGCCACTGCCTCAGTCTAAAGGACAAACCGAAGGTCATCATTGTCCAGGCCTGCAGAGGTGGTGAGTTCTGACAGGGAAAACCCAAAGTACCTGAATCATTTGCTGAGGACTGTGATGTTTGTTTTCATTTTAGGAGAAACGATCTTAGTCCCTGTTCAGGGCAAATGAAGTGAATTGAATTCTTGGGAAACTCCAGTTAAGTGGTTGGAATCATGAGAAATTATCTTTTCAGCTGAGACATATCCATTTAGTTGAATCTAAGGAAAGTGATGAAGGAGATCTTTGGAATTCCTAAATCAAAGTTGAACAAAAATATTTCTCCATTGGAATAAAATCATTTGAATAACAGCTTTACTTGTAAATAGTTTACAGACATTCTGACATTCTCTGGATTGAGAAGAATTTCATTTGAAAGGGGAGCTATTCTGTAATAGCAGCACCCTCTTTTTCCCTCATACAATGCTGAAAGGGAACTGGGTGGGGAAATGAGGGTACTTGGCATTGCTCTCAAATCTTTATTTACTTATTTTCTGACTTCCGGTTGTCTCTTGGATTTTTGGAGCCATGTTTAGAAAAGAAAAACAGAAATATTTTAGCTAAAAATAGTAACTATGCTCTGCAATGATGCACATAAGGCTTGAACTCCTTTGCTCTTCTTAGAAAATGGGGTCTTTCAGGTTTATATTACTATCACTCTTTACATACAAGATGCTTTCACTGTTAACTGGCACAGTGTTCAAAGACAGTAGAGAGAGGCCAAGTTGTGTGTGTGTGTTTCAGGGGGGAGTTTAGTGTGTGTATGTGTTTGCCCTACAATTAAAAAAGTGGCGATGATTAACATTTCTTTATTGTTATTCACTTTTTAAAATGTGTTCATTTGAGAGAGAGAGGGAGAAAGAAAGACTGAATTTCTTTTGCACTTATTTATGCATTCTTTGGTTGATTCTTGTGTGTGCTCTGACCAGGATGGGACCCACAACCTTGTCCCATTGGGATGACACTCTAAGCAACTGAAGTACCTGGTCAGGGAAAGAATAAACATTCAAAGAGAGTGAGGTGGGCAATTGTGACAGTCAAACTGAGGGAGGCACACAATGTTTACAGAATTGTTGTCTCTCCAGCAAACCAAGGGGTAGTGTGGGTCAGTGACTCTCCAGAAGCCTTGGCAGACAGCTCTTCACAGCCACGTGGGGACCTGGAGGAGGATGCTGTTCAAAGAGCACACGTGGAGAAGGACTTCATTGCTTTCTGCTCCTCAACCCCACGTATGTATCTCTCAGTTGCACACAAGGAATTGGGGCCCTGAATGATTCTAGAATATCGATAGCTCTATGCAGCAATAATCTAAGGCACATTTTGAATGTTGCTGAAATAATTTACATGTATCTCATTACTTTATGGAAACAAAGATTCTATATATTTTCTACTTTTAAAATTATACTTGGATTTTAAGTGTTCTACTTTATAAGATCAGGCAAACCAAACATTCAAACCACCTAATATGAGCAATCCAGCTGACCATACACCATTTAAAAACAAACGAATGATTCAGTTTTTCACTCTAGCCCTTTCTCCATAGTTGCCATGTGATGCTAGTTGGAGTGTGTCATTGCTTGCCTCAGAAGGGTGTGAATGTCCTTTAAAAGAGGTACAAAATGACACTCTCGGGCTAATGAGTCTTAATAGTAGTTTACAATGGTTTAGTCCTTGCCTCTAGGTAGTCATCTTAGCCTTACATTGCAATGTTTCTGATTTGAAAATTTCTGTTTTAAGTATTTTTTAAATCACAGCATATAATTTTAAATGACATACAAAAATACATATATATTTAATGTATGTAACATAATGAGTTGGATATAAGTACACATCCATGAAACCATCACCACAATCTATGTCCTGAACTTTTCCCTCCTCTTCAAAGGTTCTCTTTGGATTTGTTCATTTTCCTTGATTATTATACTCTGAGAGACAGTGTGATTTTTACTCTGTAATCACCCTTGGAACCAGGTTTCCATTTTTTGTTTTTTACTTCATGAGCATGGTGAAATTCTTTAACCCTCTGTGTGCCTATTCTTTCAACTGATAAAGCAGTAATTCCAGGTACATCTCAAACCTTTCAAATCAAGAGAATGAACATGAGGCACAAAGTAAGTGTCAGTTCCAAAAATATAATGCAGTCAGCATACAATTCTGATCAGCCATCCCTTTAGTTAGTCTCTGCCAGTTTTTCCACTCTGTTGTAAATGAGCTAATGTTGATATATACGTGTTTTCCTTAAACATGCAAATTAATTCCCAAGCTATGCCTAAAGGACATACCCATAAAACAAAAAGGTAATAAAAAAGTAGGTGAGGCCAGAGCCAAAGGCTTATCATTTCTTTTCTTCATAGATAACATATCCTGGAGAGACAGCAAAAAGGGTTCATTCTTCATTTCACAACTGATCACATGCTTTCAGAAATATTCTTGGTGCTGTCACCTTGAGGAAGTATTTCGGAAGGTAACCTTCTTTTCCTCCTCTAATAAATTTTCTTTTCAGGAAGTCTTTACACTTATTTTTCATTGGAGTTACAATGACTGATTTTGTCAGGAAAACAAAAGTATAACAGTGCCATTATTTCTGTTACCTGGGGATTGAAAGTCTGTTATTAGTGAAAGAATATGTTAATACACCACAGCAGCAAATGAAAAGAGAACAAAATTGTATAAAATAGAAGCTCATATGTTATGGACTATACTTTTCTAAAATACAAAAAATGGAAAGTATTTTGAATTAATTTTTCTTGCTTAATTTATTAAATAAGTATGTGTTGGGGTTCTGCATATAATTGCCACAATCCTGCTGACACAGGGGCAGATGACACATTGTGTCATAAGGCTACTGGTGGCCTACATTATTGTGAGAGATGTATACTAAATAAGTAGGCCAACAAAAACTGTGTCAGTATGATTGTGATAGAATCCATAACAAAAGCATTCTAGGGCACTGAAAGAAATTAAAGAAGACGTTCTTTGAATGGAGTTGTCCATAAAGGAAGATTCTATTTCTTTCCCAGATTAGAATATGCCTTATTCCCCCCTGCCTCCTAATTTGTTTTCCTCCCCACTTCTGATCACCACTCATTTGCTATACATATGACTTGTTTTTTAACCTGTAATTACTCACTTGAATGCAAACTTTGTGAAGGCAGGAATTTGTTCCACACTTCCCCATGTTGGCACACATGAAATAATATTTATTCGACATAAGACATGAATAAATGTACAGATGCTCCTTGGCCTTCTTCTTTAGCAAGAAATGTACTGATAGTAAGAATATGAGAAAGTGTAGCTGTTTTTATCCTAAACTCAAAACTGCAGAGAACAATACAGACCTGTGGGAAAGAACAATATATCTTTATTAGAAATGGAGAAGATCACACTGTAATGTCAGTTAGGGTTTCTGAGAATGGGAACTCAAAGTTGAGTCCTGTTGGATGAATAGGAATTAGACATTGTAATCTCAAGGACATTGCTAGAAGAATATTAGAAGTAGGACCTCATACATCAGTCCATGGAAAACAAACAAACAAACAAACAATCAAACAAAAAAACTTCAGAGTTCAATATGGTGGTGAGGATGTGAAAGTTGTTGTGTTCAGGTTTTAAGGTCAAAAGTTGGGGTTTTTTGCCTCCATTGAATTGATGATCTGGTCTTTGAGGTTGGAGGTAGAGGATAGTTGAGACTCAGTTCAGATATGTAGAATAGACATGGAAAAGAAATAAAGAAGAAATGCAGATAGAAAATTCTTGGATTAGACATGAGGCATTTGTTCTGAGATAGAGTGTTTTCTAACATGGGGAATTACTTCTAAAAGTAGGGAGGCAGTGACTGGACATTAGAATGGCTATGGTCTTGCTCCCATCAACCATAATAGCACCTTTCATTCCCAGAATTTGTTGGCTCATGGTGCAAAATGTTCTCTGAGTGTGGTTAAGAGTTATGTTTTATCTTTTGCCTCTTTTTTTTCCAGGTACAACGGTCATTTGAAAAGCCAGATGTTGAAGCTCAGATGCCCACCATTGAACGATTATCCATGACAAGATATTTCTACCTCTTTCCTGGCAACTGAAAACAGTAAGTATCAGAGTTGTTGACCATCCTGGTAACTGAAAATAGTAACTGTTGGAGTTGTTGGCAGGTAAATTGAATGAGAGAGTAATATTGGTAGTGATGTCCAATGACAAATGATAACCAATTGCTTGGGTGGTCAAATTAGTGTTACTTGTTGATATAGCTTGGCAATTAGAATTTTTTGTTTTTTTCCGTAAACCCATTTGTTTCCTCCTCCACCTCCAAAATTAATTAATCAATCTGTCAGTCCATCAAGGAGATAAGCCTGATGAAGGTGGAAAGAAATAAACAATGAAGGACACAGGGTAGCAATTACTAAGACAAAAGTGTAATCATGCTTCCATTATTAGTTATACTTCCTTCTCTCCCCCTGCCAGCCTCTAGCTTTCTCTGTCCCTGACACACGCAGGTACACACACAGAAGCACTCACAGACACTGAGTTACCAAACTTGCCTCAGAGCCTGAGAACTACTAAAAACACAGCAGCCAACTTTGAGCACAGTTATCACATCACTGACTTTGAGCTCCATTACGGACAGATGTATTTGGGGCTGTATTGCCTGTGCTGATGCACACTCTGGTTCTCTGACTCTTCTTATAGTGTATATCACAGAACACTCAGAGTTGCTCTTGGATCCTTAGTTACTGCTTACAATCCCCTGTAAGCACCCATGTTAACACTTACATCTTTTTGGGGGGCAAAATATTTTAGAATGGCCCATCAAGTTTAAACCCAACAATTACTCTACTCACAACAGCTTCATTTCCCACTGTTTAATAAGTATATTTTTAATTTCCCTCTTAGCAACATAATTAAAAGTATTTTTATAGTAATTTTATCTCAATCCTTTAAATCTCTGCTTTCCTTTACCCCTTGTTTCTGACTCCCTTGTCACATAAAGGCATAAGTACTTTATCAGAATAGCTTGTATTGCCTAGTTAGTACAATAGAGCCACATTTTGGGGTTGAGCATTTGTTTGACTAAAACTTATGAAGCACTTACTATGTTCCAAATTATGCTCTAGAATTTTAGGATATCTAGTGTACAAAATTGATGGTTTCAGGAAGCTCACACTGTAATTAATGGAGACCGACTCTAAATACACAAACTGATATACATCAGAAAGTGATCAGAGCTAAGAAGAAAAATAAAGAAGGTAAAAGAAATGAAACAGATGGGTGCTGTTTGTGCTATAATAGATTCTACAGGACAGTCTTCTTTGAAGTAAGGAAATAATGACATTAGAACAGAGCATGGACTGAGTTGGGTAGTAAATCCTGTGATTCTATACAGAAAAAGCATTCTAGTGCAGGGACTAGCTAATACAAAGCCCGGAGGCAGAAATGTAGTCACATGTTTTTTTCTTTGATTAAAAAAATATGTTATTGTTTATGCTATGACAGTCGTCCCACTTTTCCTCCCTGCCAAAATGCAGTGGGCTGGAGGAGAATGAGAATAGGGGACATGACAGAGACAAATTGAGGAACACGGGGAAAATCCTGATCACATGGTAAATGTTCTAAAATTTTTATCCTGAATGAAATTAGAAACCATTTGACCAGAGAAATGAGATCATATGATTAGATTTTTCCAAAGCCCAGCCTGAGTACTGTCTATGAATACACTACAGTTGTCCCTGTTTCAAGTCAAGGGAAATGGGAAAACCATATGGAAGAGGATGAAAAAAGAAAAAGAATCATAAGGGATAAATTGAGGCTTGTTACTATTCTGATCTTCTGTTCTTTTTTCTTCTTCAGGAAATTAGAGGAAGTCCAGTTCTTCTTTATCAATTTTCAGGAACACCTTTACCAATATAGCACACATATTTAACATCTGTATTTAAATAAATATGAATCCAAATAAACTGCATCTTTTGGTCTTTTTCTTTTTTGGTTTACTTCTTTAAAACTATTTTTCAATTATAGTGGTTATTCAATATATTATAGTTTTAGTGTACAGTCTAATGGTTAGATATTTATATAACTTGTGAACTGATTCCCCCTGATAAGTCTTGCTCCTATGTGATATCATACATGCTGTATCAGTATTACTGACTATATTCCCTATGTTGTACACTACATCCCATGACTGTTTCATTACTACCACTTTGTACTTCTTAATCTCTTCATAATTTTTACTCGGTCCTCTAATTGTCCCCCTTTATCTGGGAGCAACCAGTTTGTTTCTTATATCCCTGAGTATATTTCTATTTTGTTTATTTTGTTCTTTATTTCCCTTTTTATTGAACTTATTAGGATGACTGTGGTTAACAAATTATATAGGTTTCAGGTGCACAATTCCATAACACATTGTCTATACATTGTATACTGTGCTCACCACCCCAAGTTGAGTCTTCATCCATCCTCATTTATTCTCTCATACACTCTTCCACCTCAGCTACCCTCTTTTTGCCCCCACACTCTTGTCTATGTCCATGAGGTTGTTCTTTGTTTTTTCCTCTTCAATCTCTCCAACTCCCCTCATAAAATTTCAATTAAAATGGTGGGTAAATGAAAATGAAATGGAGTAAGATAACTGGATTTTCTAGCTTATGACTCATATAATATCTGCATTTCACTGAGTGAAAAGAATGGCCAGGACTTGACCTCAGCAACAGGGTGAAAGGAGATGGTGCCCATATGGGATACTAGAAGTATAAAATGGTCAGCTCCTCATCAGTGTACTCAACAACCCCAAAGTCTACAGTGGTACAGAGTTTTCTAGCTCATTCCTTAGCCAGCATCATAGGTTCAGCTAATATTTTCCTAAGTAAACTAATATTTTAGACAATTATTCCCATGTGCTTTTCTTTCTTTCTACAAAATAAATACACTTTCTTATTTTCTTTCCAGATATGTGCTTATTTCCAAACTTCAGGAAAATTTTACTCTTTCACAAGCATTTAGCTATTGTCTAAAATAATTTGGCTGTTGGTTAAGATGGTCTAATCTTACTGTATTTATATGAAAATAGAAATATCATCAGATAAAGGACAGAAAGAGAATGGGAAGTGTCAGCAATGGAAGAGAGAATGTCAAAGTTTATGGGATGGTGAATGCTGGCAGAGGAATTTTTTCAACATGTCTATCAGAGTTTTTCACTAAGGAGATGTACCTCTTTTGTTCCACACACACAGAATGCTGGACAATTATTTTAGTATACAGCTCAAATAAGTTAAAATAAGAGAATGCTCTAGGCATCAAATATGGCCATAATTATTGATATTTATGTACATTAAATGTGCATCAAGATTATTTTAAGGATGTTGAATATTTTAAGGGTTTTATATATAAACAACTACTTTAACTTTCACAGCAATCTTATAAAGTAATTTTTTACTTACATCTCCATTTTGCCCGCAATAAAACAAAAGAATATAGAGCTTAAGTGACTTGCCCAATAAACAATATATAGGTGGTCACACCAGGACTTGAATGCAATCTGAGTTGCTCTAGAATCTGACTTATGAACCATGGTACTTCACTTTCTGAAAAGCAGTGTGAAATTATAAGGTTCTGAATCAGAGGTTTTACTAAATTTTGCATTATAAAGGTTAACATTACTACAAAGATTCATGACTTTTATATTACTGGGCTTAGCTTTTCCATGTGGAAACACAAGCACGTAAAAAGATTAAAAAATATATATTTTAGAGACTTCATTCTAATGTTGCATGATGATAGTAGAAACACAAAACAAAAATTATCAAACATCACCACATTGTTGAAAAAATATACACATGGGAACATGCACTTAAATTTATGCTTCATATACATATACTAATTGTATATGCATATATATATATATATATACACATAAAACCAGAAAAATGAACCTAGCATTAAAATGAGTAATCAGAAAAATACTAAATTAATAATAAAATAGAAAAATGAAAATAATAAGTATTTAAACCCCCCAAATCAATAAAATGGTAATGAGATAAAAATATTGAGCAGATTACTAAAAATGAAATCTGGCTTTTAAAAGGACTAATAGCAGATATTTAGCGACATGGAGTATAAAAATTAGAATTAGCACATGGACAGTATGGATGACAAAAAGTACACTATACACAAATAAACAGAATTATAGAAAAAACATAAGACTCATATATAAAATGTAGATGGAATTCCAGATAATCAATTAGCAAAATTAATCCATGGAGAAGTAAAAAGCTAAATCAATCCATAAACATTAAATAGATTACTTTTCCTTTGTATCTTCTACCTGAAAAAAGTTAACAAACATGAATGGTGTAAAGAAATGTCTTACAAAACTTCTAAGAACATGATAAGCTCAAATTTATACAAAATCTTCCAGATAATAAAAAGAGAAGTAAGTGTCTTAAATTCCTCATGGTACTAGTACAAAACTGCTACAGAACTAGAGAAGTGGAGGCAACATTAGAAAAGCGCAGTCTGATTTTTCAGGAGCAGCGATGTAACCATTCTAAATAAGGTGTTAGTAAGTCAAATCCAGCCACATATCTTGTAATATTAATGTTTTGTAGGTAGTTAGAATTTACTCTGGGAGTGCAAATATAATTTAATAACAAATAATTACAACATTCGTTGTAATACAGGTTTGGTGGTAGTGATGAACTCCTTTATTTTTGTCTTGTCTGGGATCCTTTTCACATGTCCTTTGATTCTAAGTGATAACTTTGCTGGGTAGAATAATTTTGATTATAGGTCCTTGCTTTTCATCACTTTGCATACTTCTTGCCAGTCTCTCTGGTCTACAAAGTTTCTGTTGAAAAATCAACTGACAGTCTTTTTTAAAAATATGTTTTATTGATTATGCCATTACAGTTGTCCCATTTCCCCCTTCATTCCACCTACCCTGCACACCCCCTCCCTCTTATCCCCCCCTTTAGTTCATGTCCATGTGTCACAAGTTCTTTAGATTCTATACTTCCCATACTATTCTTGCCCTCCACCCTGTCTATTTTCTACCTACTGTCTATGCTACTTATTCTCTGTACCTTCTTTCCCCTTCCCCTTCTCCAACCTCCCTGTTGCTAACCCTCCATGTGATCTCCATTTCTATGGCTCTGCTCCTCATCTGGCTGTCTGCTTAGTTTGCTTTTGTTTTAGGTATGGTTGTTAATAACTGTGAGTTTGCTGTCTTTCACTGTTCATATTTTTTATCTTCTTTTTCTTGGATAAGTCCCTTTAACATTTTATATAATACAGGACTTCCTGCCAAAATGGAGACGTAGGTAGAAATACTGTACCTCCTCACACAACCAAGTTTATGAACAACAAAAATTTAGAAGCCAGAATGCAACCAAACAGAGAGAAAATTGAACTGTACCAAAGTCCAACAACAACCAACCATTCATCCAGACAGGTAAGAGGGGCAGAGTCGGCGGCTGGCAGAGTAGGGGTCACGGCAGGAAAAAGTGGCCGGACTGACCCAGGTGCGCAGGCGGTGGTTGGCAGATCCCAGGCATGTGGTGGCAACGGGCAGACCCAGTGAGGGCTCAAGGCGGCTGGCTGATCATGGTCACACATTTGCGCAAAGATAAACCAGGGAAAGGAGTGAGCAGTGAGACAGACCGCATAAACCAGGGCTCCAGCCCTGGGAAATAAAGCCTAAAAAGCACCAATTGGAAAAACTTTCATGGGTTGAGGTGCCAGGAGAGGCTCCCAGACTCACAGAAGTTCATTGGAGAGACCCACAGGGTCCTAGCACATACACAAGCCCACCCACCAGGGAACCAGTGCCAGAAGGCCTTGCAGGAAGCTGCAGAGGGGACCAAAATCCAAGAGAGAGCAGAAAAAATGCCATTGCCCTTCTCTGACAGTCTTATAGGAGCTCCCTTGTAGGTAACTAACTACTTTTGTCTTGCTGCTATAAGATTCTTTCTTTGTCTGTGACCTATGGCAGTTTACTTCCGATATGCCTTGGCATGGGCCTCTGAGGGTTTATCTTGTTTGGGAGTCTCTATACTTCCTAGACTTGTACGTCTACTTATTTCACCATGTCAGGGAAATTTTCTCTTATTATTTTTCAAGTAGGTTTTCAATTTTTTGTCTCTTCTTTCCTGGATCCCTACAATATAACTGTTGGTACATTTGAAGTTGTGCCAGAGGCTTTTATGCTACATTCATTTGTTTGTGGCCTTTTTTCTTTTTGATCTTTTGATTGGGAATTTTTTGCTTTTTTATATTCCAAATTGCTGATTTGATTCTTGGCTTCATTTACTCTACTGTTGATTCCCTGAAACATCATCTTCATTTCAGTTAGTGTCTACTTCATGTCTGACTGATTACTTTTTATGTTTTCTCTGTTTTTTTAAGATTTTATTTATTTATCTTAAAAGTGGAAGTGAAGGATAGAGGGAGAGAAATATCAATGTATTGTTGCCTCTCGTGTGTCCCCTGCTGGGAACTGGCCTGCAACCCGGGCATGTGACCTGACTGGGAATCGAACTGAAATCCTTTGGTTCACAGACCCACACTCAATCCACTGAGCTACACCAGCCAGGACTCTTTTTTTTTTTTTTTTTATGTTGTTGAATTTTCCATTAAGTTCCTTGGGTATCCTTATAACCATTGTTTTGAACTCTGTATCTGGTAGTTTGTTCATGTAAGATTCTTTTAGTGTTTTTTCCTGGAGATTTGTCCTGTTCTTTCATTTAGGACATGTCTTTTTGTCTGTTTCCCTATTCTTTTTTTGTATATTAAGTAGAGCTATTATATCTCCCAGACTTGGTAGAATGGCTTTGAATAGTAGGGCCTTGTAG